TAAGAAGAACTAGATAAAATTAATCTAAATAAACTGGATAAAAACTACTTCAAATATAAATTGTCCGCAAAATAAAATATTTAAACAAAATTACTTTTTACGATATTTCAATTATCTCCGCACAATACAGAATACATCATTGGAAAATTTATATAATACCCCCAGTCTGACGCCTATTATTACTATCTTTAACGCAATATGAGATAAATCGTCGGCCGCCTCCTTTGACGTTGTTTGTCACAAGTCACTATTTTAATGGTTCTTTAGCGGTGTCCTCAAGGGGCATAGCGGGTAGAAATGTCTCAGTGTCTTGTGAATGGATTGCAGTGACTCTTGCATTCTTGCAAACAAGAATGTTTGCATTCTTGAAATTCTTTCACTCTCAGACAATACCGAATATACTATAATGACTTATTCATCATTTCATAAATATTAACCATGTTCAGAAAGTGAATATCCGTTTTTCAACTGATATACTCTAGCGTTTCTAAGATCAAATTCATTGCGTTGGTCTAGCACAACTCAATATTATTATTACATCTCGGTTTTGCACCTTCTATAGTGTAATAAATACAACAATTGGACAACATTCAAAATGTGGTTGAAGATTAGTTCTACAGACTGTTATTTTCAAGTTTATATTCAGGTGTTGAGAAACCCTTTAGGATTTTATTTTTAATGTACATAAAAGGACTATCAAAATATGTGATGGAATTGGCTGATACCTTATGAAAACCCATAACTTATTCAAATAACACTTTTCTGTGAGATTTTCACTGGATAGTTTACAAAACTTCAACACGTGTTTCACTATACACTAGCTTCCTCAAACGTTTTCATACTCAGTGATAATAACACAATAAAGTGTTACTTGGATAAGGCTATCAGAATGAAATGTTTTAACCACCTTTGAAAAAACAATATTTTCACANCCTATTTCACCTTAGAGTAATAATGATCGAATGGAATGGGGATCGTTATATTGTCACGAAATATAAAATTTTAGCAGTAGTTGTAATACGGAATAGATTCCAGAATTCAAAAAACTATATTTTATGAAGAATATATGAACTTCAAAAAAAGCAAGAAAAAATTAACAAATAGCACCGTGAAAACAATAATAATAACTCGTCTTTTATCGTAGATAAATAAAGCAGAAACAAAAAATTGTGAGACTAATGGCAAAATCTAGCTGTAGCTTTTCTACTTAACCTTCAGAGGGCTCAACTCCATTTTTTTTCAACTAATGACACGAGAAAATTATGGCTGGCCGCAACATTATCAAATTGAATTCATAAATAATATAAAAGAGGTTGTATGATATCGTACATACAATTAAAATAGTAATTAAAGCACATAAATATGAGTTTGGCCTGTTCAGTTTTACTGTTTTGAATAGTAATTTAATAGATTGATGGATGTAGCAGTAACTATGTGGTAGGAGATCATGATGAAAAGAGAAATGAAAATTTCTATGTTTTCTACCACTTTTATTTGTAACGTTACTGCAGTTTCGTCCTATATGGACATTCTCAAACTTAAACAATAAACTAAGAATGACTCATTACATTCGGTAATATATACCATTCAGGTACTTGATTGAGTACCTTAATTTACAGTTCACAATGCGCATGTGCCAATTTGAACTGCCCAATCGACCAATGATGCAAAAATCAGGCAAATATTCATTAGTCATCTTTCTGAGGTTTTATATCTTGCAACACATAACTTTGAGTTCATACTCTTAGGTGGAGACCTAATCATTGGTCAATTTGGTAGTAATTTTGTCTCAAAATTGCTATTTGATTATTTCAGTCCTTACGAGATGACATCTCTGATAAGTGAAAATACACGAATATTTCCAACAGTAAAATACAAAAGTTCTTCTGCTATCGGCCAACATTCGGCATTCGGTCCAAACGCAATTATAATGAAATGTTGTTAGAATCACATAAGTAACATTATGAAAAACACATTGTAAATAGCAACAATAAATCAAAATGTCTGTGGCAAACTGTGAAAGAAATCGAAGGAACAAACAAAACCACAAATGAATTGTAAATATTGGGTGACCCATATACAGTCAGTAACAATTTCAACAATTACTTTCTCAGCGTAGCCCCCAATTTATTGAAAGATCTACCAAATATTGAATTCAGAAATAATATCTGCTTACAGAGTCAGATTGCAAAGATCATAGACATGGCCTTCAACACGAGATTAACAAGTTTCCTTGAATCTCGAAATCTCTAAGGCTCATCTCAACACGGTTTTCTACAAAACAAGTCTACCAGTTCTGATATGGCAGAATTATGTTTGCAACTATATGATGCTTTGAACTCAAAAAACAGCTCTATTGTACTCTTCTTTGATCTGAGTAAAGCGTTTGATACAGTCGATCACAATCTCCTAGTTGAGAAACTCTATCACATTGGTGTTAGAGGGACGCCACTAAATTGGCTCACATCGTATCTCGAAAATTGAAAACAAGTATTGATACTGGGTAGTGCAAAATCGGAAGAGAAAACTGTAAATGTAGGGTTACCTCAAGGATCGCTACTGGGTCCAGTACTGTTCACTATTTTTGTCAATGATATCACCTCAACATGCAAACAAGCGCACAAAATAATGTATGCAGACGACACAACTATGATAGTGAGAGAAAACAACTTAGCAAAAACAGTAGAAACTGCCAACGCCGTTGCAAACCAATTTTACACATGGTGTACCAGTACGGGCTTGTGT